CGGTTGCGTTAAAGCCAAAGAGCCTGTGGAATGCCCCCCCCCCCCCTACCCCCCACCAAATGGATTCCACATGTTGTTTGCATAATTTCCTCTCCCAACAGTTGACCTACAGTACAACTGGAAACGAAGTTCACAGTGGTCCGTGCAGCATCCTTGTGCAGGTCCGCTGAAACCATCTGCACTGAGGCTAGAGGAGAGGCAGCAGCCCAAAGACTCTGTAAAGGCAAACTCTTCCTGCAATAACAGCTCAACATTGGTCCAAAACAATCTGAAAATGCTGACTTTGAATGCTCTTCCATCCTCTTTTCTTGGCTTCCTTCCTTTTCTCCCTCCTTCTGTTAACCCGCCATATTTGGCCGAAGCAAAACAAGACACTTGGTTGAAAGAGGAAACATCACCACAGAGAGACAGATTGACATACCTTTCCATCCTAGCCATGGAAACATGTCGAGCAACTTTAAATCAGAGTCTGGGGGCAAGCTCTGCACATATGAGTCATTTCCAGTAAGCAGTGAGTGTGCAGCTCTAGAGATGGTGTCATTACTAGAAGAAAAGTTGGATCAGTGCACTGGCCAGACAACATCATCTAAAAATCGACCTCCCTTTACATCTGTTTGTTGTTCGATGACAGTTTCCTTTTCTCTATCAAAAGATAAGCCTGGTTTCTCTAGAGTGTCTCTATAGAAGTATTCAACAGAGGAATGCAGCAAAAAATTCCAAATACTCACACACTGATGTTTGACAAGTTGTAATCATCCATGTTAGCTTGTAGTTCTTTCTGTTTGTGTTCACTATTTAGATTATCAACCTCAGAGTCACCGCTTTTGCACAATACTTTCCATGCTCCCTCTCTCTCCCTCTCTCTCCCTCTCTCTCTCTCTCTCTCCCTCTCTCAGTTTGTCACAAAACACACAGGCTCTAGCACTCCGTGTACACCCTTTAACTCAATTTTGGTAAACAAACGTGGGCTGGACACTGGGGGTCGAAGGTTGAATCCACAAGAGAAAACGCAAAGGGAAAAGAACATTTTGTCATCTTCTGACATGATGAAATAACAGCACGGGGAGTTCAGTTCGCAGCTATCACCTACAAATATTAGTCTTTTTTTCATGCGCAGCAAGTTCAACATAACTACCAGCACATGTCTTACTACTGACAATGAAACAGCAGCAGATGAAGTATCTGCAGATGTTTTGGATGTTTAACCCTCACGATCCGTCACCTCTTGTGTCTCGGTGATTTAGTTCGCTTAGTGACAGGTACATCTATCATTATGCAAAGTCATCCATTTGGCTGCTGTCTGTTTCACACATACATATATACATACGTATATACATGACCTTGACACACTAATCTATTGTAAGAACCTGTGGGTAAGTGTGTGTAGGGTTCAGGGTCTGTGCATACAGCAGTCTCCTGTGGCTGAACGTCCAGGTTTGACAGGTCTGGAGATACGACAGCACCGCTATAAGCAAGGGTCATAGGACATCCCACAATGCACCTTGTACACCCACCCCCCTTTTAAATTTCCTTGGCTTACAGTCAGGGATCCAAACGAATCCAGCCATACCATGCACTGCAGTCTATCTGCAATCAATGACGATACACTCCATAACACCCAGTTGGATCAATGATACAGCAGTCAGTCAATATGCCAGCAGTTAACCCAACTGATTAGGGGTAATACGAGGAATTTCACATCTCCCTGAATAAGACAGTGAGCCTGCATGTTGTTGGAGTGCACATCCAAGACCACGGCACTCCTTCCTGAAAGATTCAATCTGTCAACACGCACCCAATTTGTGTGTTGTGATCTGTGGCAGACAGATGATGCCTTTAGTGGGGGAATCCTGCCGAGCAATTAAATGTGCTGGGCAGAGCGGTGTTGATGGACAGATAGAGTCTATCCGAGGGTGATTGGCTTTTTAATTGAGTCCCCCCACCTGCACTGATCTCTATCATAAGCCCTTGGACCATGTCTTGGGGTGGGGGTTGAGCCATTGAAGCAATCAGCAGCAGCAGCAGTTTGATGCAGTTGTGGAGGGAAAACAACTGGAGGTATGCTGCATCATGATGTTCGTGATAATACCAGTATGGTTTTTAATTTGATCAAATTTAATATTGCAAGTGTTACATCATCATGACCAAACAAAAGCACATCAAACCCATTTAACCACCTCAAGCTGAAACACCTGGCTGAGTGCAAGGTGAGCCAAAGAGAACCACAGCTGATGTCTGGTCTAGATAACTAAACCGCCAATTTACATGGACGCATGTCGACCCAAGAAAAATGTCAGCGTCAGTCGTTTCAGCAAAAACCTGAAAACAGCATATGTTTACCTTCGAGTGACAAAGCGCTCTACTGGCTGCGGGAATTATGACTGCGATGTTATAGAGCCACAAAGTCCACAGCGGAAGACAAGCAGGGTGGATGGACGGCTCAACAAGACCTCAGACTTTAACAAGGGAGACTGCTGTCTGTATCCCAACCAACTACCATCACTACAATTGTTCCATAGATTCCCTTAACCTTAACAAAACAGTAATTTTAACTCAAACCACGATCTTCCCTTGAACCTAACCAAGTTGTTTTTGTGCCTAAACCAAACCAAACCTTTACCATAGCACTTAGGCGCTGACAAACAATGTTGTCATGCCAGTGGTGCAGTCAGATCATATGTTTTGTTCGGGAGGGCATGGTGACACAACAAATAATGTGTTTTTTTTCATTTGGAAGATTGTAGTGTAATAGTGAATATGTGACCAGGCGTTCTCCATGTGATGCACAGTACAAGACAGGGAAAAGAAATTACCAAAGTGGTCAACGTTTGTTTAGCTAAAGATGCCAATCGGCTTAAAAGAACTCCATGGAAAATTCAGCAATGGATCACTTTGCTGACTCAAATCATTTCAGTGAGTCTGGATAAAGATTCATAAATGTGTCACCGTTGAAATGCACTTCATTTTAAACGTCAGTAAGCGAACACGTCGCCGCGACGTTCAGTGCTGATTCTGGCAGTCTTCGCTACAATACTATGTTCAATCTGTTGCTGGTTGAAGCTGGTACATTCAGTTCACTACAAAACTAGTAGCTACGGTTAGTAGCGCAGCAGCCTATCCAGTTTATTTCTATTAATGTTTTTGTTTCACGGCACAAAGTCAGTCACAATGATGATTGATTGTAGTCAGTTAAGTTTAAAGATTCAGTGTTAAAGATTTGTTCGTACATGTACCGAACGTATCCTCCATTCTCTCATCATTTTGTCATGAATAGTGTCGTTATTGTAAAAACACCCTGCAGAAAGATGATATTATTGTCAAGTATTATCACTCTCTCCTTAGAGCAACCTTCACTGATTTGTTCGTCAGTGCCAGGATATATTTATATGTTGCCTGTTTCATTGCTCCAATATGATTTTTCTTCCCTGTTGAATCACGGTGTACTGTGGAATCTACATGTGTGGTAATATCAGCCTGCTTATTCACGCACAGGGAAAAGGCCCCTTTGTAAATGGATTTAAGTGAGAGTTTAAATGGGCACTAATCTCACTCGCTGAACATCCGTGAGCTGCAGGGGGTCTCGTCCACACACACACATATCCCCACCCCCCTCATCTTTTTTTTTTTTTTTCCTCTTCTTTTTTGTTGATGGCACCCCTACTTAAACACATGCACACACACACACACACACACACACACACACACACCCTACGGCTGTTACACAGTTAAAGGCAAAGCAGGGCCTCTCGACAACGCGGGGGTAAAGTCACAGAGGTCAGTGCTCAGTTTCCACATCAAACCCAGGAGCAGAGGCCAGAGTCTCATCCCCCTCCCACCTTTCTCGCTCCCTCCCTCCTGCTCTCTTGCTCCCTCCCCTCCTCTTGCCACCCACCCCCCACCCACCCCTCCAACACACACACACACACCCTCCTCCTCCCCCTTGCTGGATGTACAAATGCCTTTGCTGTCAGCTCTGCCCCGGTCCCCTGTAATTGAAAATAACAGCCAAGGGCCAGCCCCCGGCCACTCTCCCCAGCCTGGTGGCTCTCTGCCTCTCTGACAGCCACCCATCAATACCAATGACTATTACCCTGGAAGTGAGAGCGCTGCCGATGACATCCAAGACACCACCCCTGCAACACTCCCACACATACACACACACACACACACACACACACACACACACACACACACACATACACACACACACACACACACCTCCCCCCCAGTGTCCTTCCTCCGCTACCCGAGCCTCCTAATGTTTAACCCGTTGCTAACAGCCTCCTCTCTCTCTGTCTCTAAGCTGCTACAGTAGGCTACGGTAGGCAAACAAGCCTGTCAAACATACACACACACACACACACACACACACCACAATGCTTCACACAAATGCACAACCACCCACACACACACACACACACACATACACACAAAACTCTCTTAAGACAGGCACAAAACTCTGACAAGCAGAAAACTTTTTCCATTGAGAAGTGCTGAGAGAGTTTGGTGTGGTGCTTGTCTCACTTCACACTCTCATATTCCCCACCAAGACACCCAGTCAGTATTATTCTACAACACTGCTGCACTGCTCAGCTGATATGTTTTGAAGTTGCTTTACAAGTAAATAAGTGACACATAAGAGATTTCACAACCGGTGCCGGCACTGTAAAGTCAGGATGCTGCCTATGCCCTCAGTCGTTCGGTGTATAATCACTTTTTTCTCTCTTGTCATGACAGCTTATGAATTTACGTGGGGAATAAGTGTTACATGTCCAGTCAGCACCACGCTGGGTCTCTTATTTTCCCCCACTGACATACACCAGACACAATGCCATAGGTGATCTGAGTTGTCATCTGCTTTGACAGAGCAATGACAGCTGAACGAGACGCACTGAACACAAGCACAAAGCCCAGCAACGTGACAAATGAAGCACACAGCAGCAGCAGCAGCAGCAGCAGCAGCAGCCAGCAGAGGAACAGGACGAGAAAAATGCACAGACCTTGTCAGAAGCTGCAGAGCCGTGGAGACTGGGACACTGTTTTCCTTTCTACAGTCCTCTCTGTCTCCTCTCCTCCTCTCCCTCTCCTCTCCTCTCCTCTCCTCTCCTCTCACTCTGCGTGTATGTACGTGTGTGTGTGTGTATGTGTGTGTATGTGTGTGTGTGTGTGTGTGTGTGTGTGTGTGTGTGTGTGTGTGTGTGTCTATGTGTGAGTGAGTGAGTGAGTGAGTGAGTGAGTGAGTGAGTGTATGTAAGTGAGCAGCTCCCTCCCCTTCTGCCTCTCAGCTGCTCAGCTTAGGCAGTTCTCAGGAAATGAATGGGAGCGCACAGAGAACTGTTGTACTTGCAAATGACTTACCCCGAGTCACATGATCCGCTAAATGTAGGGTGGGCCGGTGGGTGGAGGCTTCATAAGCAAAGGGAAGACAATATACTCTAAGCTTTAACAGCATGCATCGAATTACACGGGGCCCCTCCGGGGAGGTTTCCGACGCGTCCGCTCTCAGCCAGCCCGAACTCCCTCTCTACCCCTCCCGGAGAACAGCGGAGAGCCCCGGTCTGGGGGTGAGCACCGGAGCACCTCCCCGTTTAAAGGGGCCGGTGAGGAAGGTGTATACAGGGAAGCGGATTTAGTGAATAAATTGAACTCTGTTTGATTTACGAGATATTTGTTTAGTCGTGTGATATTTACAGAGAATTAATAGACTGATAAGTCTTTATAGGCCTACACATGTGGTACTAAAGTTAAATGTTTCAGTTTGGTAGATACTGTTATGAAATTGTTTAAAATATTTTAACTAAAACATGTCATCTATTGTCATTAGATCGATTAATCGGTTAGTAGATCAGAAAATTAAAGGGCCATTTTGAGAATCAATTACTCGTTTAAATCATTTTCAAGCAAAAATGTCCAAAATGTGATTCAGCTTTTTAAGTGGAGACAAAAAAAAGCAATTTATTGAAGTAACATTGGGCTCTAGAGAACTGTGATGGCCATCTTACAGTCTGAGGTTTTATGGACCAAATGATTAAACAATAAAGTGATTTGCCATTTTAAAGTTGTCATAGTTAGTTATATGGAGATTTGTGTATGAAAAATTATTACATTTCTAGTAATTTCACAGGTCTAGTTATTTATTTACACCTGTATTTACAATAATTACAGATATTAAAAAAAAAAAAAACTATATATTAAATATATATATAAATATATATATTAGGAAGGAAACCAGACTTTTATTATTTTCATTATTGTATCATTTATCTTTAATTATTGATTTTTTTATTCATTCATTAATAGTTTACTCTATAAAATGTCAGAAAGTAGAACAAACAGTACATCCAAGTTGATGTATTCAGATGGCTTGTTTTTTCTGACTGTCAGTTAAAACTGAAAGTTTCTGAAAGATTCAGGTTACTATCGTGGAATCCTAAGAAAAACAGCAAATCGAAAGCTGTGAATCAGACATTTTTTTGAAATTAATTGATTATTGAAATTGTCACAGATTCATTTCATCTGTCGATCGACTTATTAATTAATCTACTTATCATTCCAGCTCTAACTGGCTGAATTCCCAAATTCTCACAACACATTTGTAAGTTTGTGTGGATAATAGAGGTGCTATTTTTCTATTCTCGGTTGGATTTTAGTTTTCTGCTCCTACAGTAAAATGTCACATTTCTGCCTGCTGTTTAAGTGACTAGCCTTGAATAACATGCTGGAACATTTCCACATAATGACTGCTTTTAATTTCTCCTCTGTATAGTGCCTGAGCCACTTGTACTCATGTCAGTTTTCCTCCTGGTGTTCTCCAGCTTGATGAAAGGTATCTCTGTGGTATGAGAGGCTGATGCTGATGCTGATGCTGATGCTGCTGAGCGCCCACAGCCAGTCCCCTGGGAGCTCTAATTAAGGTAAAGGAAGCAGGACTCATCTGCATGGCTGATGGAGCTCATACCACTTTACATGGCGCAGGCTTTATCGTGGAGCTGGAGGAGCATGACTGAGAGAGCCAGAGATGATGGAGAGAGAGAGAGAGAGAGAGAGAGAGAGAGAGGGAAAAAGGACTATTTACAATAGTAGTGTAAGGCTGATCCAACTGCTACCCACTTAATATTCATTCTGTTTCACGCCAGATAGTACTGTATGTCTTCTGTTTGCAATGAATGGAGGATGAAATGGTTGGGTGGAGACGAGAGGATGGAACAAAAGAGATGGAGGGAATGAAAGACCAGATTAATGGTTAGGTTGTATATGCTGGATGGAGAGGTGAAGGTGGGCGATTGTATACGGGAGAATTGAGAAGTATTTTCTGGCTGTGTAGATAGGTGGGGCTCTAAGTGTCCAATGGGAAGAGGGCTTGGTTGCATGAATGGATGAATGGATGGATGCGGGGAGATGAGGGATGATATGGCCATGATCGTAATTGTAATGGTGCATAATTACAAAATGTGTGTCTAATCAGCTGGTTAAATGTTCTTGTAAAGGTGTTTTTTTCAAGCATTTTGATAACATGTTTTATGACAGGTAATGATTTTAGACATAATTCTCTAAAGATTATATGTTTGAATACATTTAAAGAACTATATAACAGCTGATACCAGGATAACTTAGCTTTTCACATCAGCTTCACCCTTATTTTTACTGAGTAGTGATGAAATACGTCTGTGTTACGCAATTTCTACCATCAGGAAAAATCTAGAAAGGCTGTTTTGGGGTTTTCGGTCCACGAGATCAACTACAATACCCATAAGCACAACCACCTGAACAATGGCATGACAACAACAGTTCTTAGGGTTGAAAAACACAAACATAACTGAACTTGAACAGAACTGAAGTGCTGTTGAACTTTCAGCTAAATGCTCGCTGCTTTTTGTTTTTTGTATAGTTGGAGTACTGGAATGGTCAGTAGTCAAAAGCTTTCATAACAAGACAACACTTGAAATCAGACCAGGTGAAAGTGAACATGCTATAAAAAATAAAGATAAACTATAAATACGAGGCCAAAAAACATGCACATACATAAAATACTCAATAATGTAACATATTACTGACTAACAGAAGGGGTCATGCAACTGAGGCTGTGTGAGAATATCAAGTCTGTGGCATTTGAAAACATTGCAGCATGATTTGGTCGCAAAACATTATCAGACTTCCTCCACTGTCAATCTCCTCTCAGCATCATTTGACATATCTGTGATCCCATTGCCTGGTTGTTTTAAAATCTCCACGATGATGTACAATTGGATAAAAATCACAGACACTTCATCTATGGTTATTCATCATTTGGTCTCGAGTGTAAAACATGAGAATGGTCAATTATAGATTAATGTGATATTACCAATCTGACAAGAAAAATTCTGATTTACGTAATGAGTGGGCTGGCTGGTTAATAGGCGCTTTGAAGGCTCTATGTGTGATGGAACACTAATGTAACATCAGCCGTGAGGCCTGGTGATGATCCTTGTAATGACGTCCTGAGGAGCTCTTTCAAATGAAATCCTCACTGTGTAACTGGTGCCCGAGGAGTCCTGGCATGCGTTGAAGGAAGGCAGGCAGAGAGGAGCGCAAACAAGCTCTTTCAGGGAGGTGGAAGAGGGAGGAGTGTGGATGGAAAAGAGGGGTGGGTTGCGGGGTGGTGGGGGGATACGGAGATCTGCCGGGGAGAGTTTGAAGAGGAGGAAGAATGAGAGAGGATGATGGGAGATGGTCCGAGGGACATGGGGGAGGGGTCACAGCAGGGATGGCTCGGGCGTGTGAAGGGAGGTATCTGAAGGCGGTCGGGTGCTCGAGTCAGGGTTCCCAGCTTCATCCCGTTGCCCCCAGTAGGGCTTATTAAACACCTGAGACACAAACACCTCTCCTAAGGCTACGCCAGCTCCAGACAGGTTGCTAATGCATCACCCTGGGGTGGGAGCAGTTCAAAGACGGCGTGGGTGTCTGGGGGGATCATTTGTGGTGCGGCATAATAAGCTGTAAGACATCAAGAAGAGCATTATCATTACACTCTTCTCCCTTGCATCATCTGACCCAATCTCATCAAATTATTGTAACACCATTCATCATTTAGTCACACACTACAAAATGTCTATGCTGAGGGGGCGAAGCGTTCTTACTGTGCTAAAGGAGCCTGTATTTGACTTAGCAAAAATGAAAAACGTGTGTGTGGGCGCGTGCGCGCGCTCGCGCATGCGTGTGTGTTGTGAAATGCTAGGAGTGAAAGATGTGATGCTCCCCTCCTGTTGTCTCTGGCTGAACTTTAGACTCTGGACTGAAAGAACAGACATGCCAGACGAGGAAGTAGGGAGCAGAGAAGCTAAACACAACCTGTTACTGCACAGTCAGGAGGGAGGGAGGGGGTGAAAACAGCGGAAGAGAAAAACACTCAAGAAATGGAGAATGTTTTGTTGTTGTTGGTTGAGTTAGAGTTACTATCCGTATCTAATAATAGGACACATGTTACACCTTTCCTTTCCCATTAATTCATGTGGCAGATGATTTTATCCAAAGCAACTTACAAGTGAAGCAACTTGGGCTCCAGTGTCTCACCCAAAGATACTTCAGAACGTGGAGAGGAGGAGCTGGGAGTTGAACCACCAACACTGCAATCAGCAGACAACCTGCTTTACCACCTGAGCTGCAGCCACCAAACATACTTTCCTTTTTAGGGAAGGGACACAATGTGGACAATAACTTATGGCTCACTTTCAAATATTTCATAGACTTTAAATGTAATAATAATAAAAGAGTGATAAAAGTGACAGGATATGAATAAAAATAATAAAATATAAAGACCAAAGTGGCTGTAAGAAACCTAAGAGTGAAGAATATACTTGAAACCTTGAAAATATGATGGACAAGAATATATACATTCATCCTGTCAGACAGCCCTGGTTTGTAGGCAATAAAGTGCTCACCTCTGGAGCTTCTCTTTATCCCCTGCAGTCGCTCTCTATTCTCACTGTGAATGCCCAACACAATAGGGCTACGTACATGAAATGAGAAACGCTTGCGCTCAACTTCACAAGTCAAGGTTTTCTGTCCTCCAAAATGAAATATGGAGAAGTACAATGGATGGATTGGCCCCATTTGCCTGAACTGTCATGTACAAAC